TTCCTTCCTTCCTTCCTTCCTTCCTTCCTTCCTTCCTTCCTTCCTTCGTTCCTTCCTTTCTTCCCTCTCCCTTCCTTCTCTCCTTCTTGCTTCCTACCTTCTTTTTTTTTTAATAGAGATTTTAACTTTCCATGGATATCAGTGTAGGCTGTTCATTTGTTTTCTCTTGATCTTGCTAAATGACTAACCTACCTCCTTTTCTCATAATATATTTACTAAATATCTTTTTACATGATTTCTTGCATGAAAAGCAACTTTATTAACATGCTATAACCAACTGTGTGCATCATGCTACATTTCCTGTATATGTTTCTCCATTCCCCATTGGGTAACTAGCAAGTTTAATTCTTTAGAAATTATGATATTCTATTATTTATGGTCATATAAGCTCAACAAAAGGTTTTTCTTTAAAAGGCTATTAAAAAGTTTTTTTTAATGTGGTTTTCTAGTGTCAGGTTGATGCTTAGAAAAGAAGTTGCTGCTTGAAAAAAATAGATTTTTCAAATGCAATCCAGTCAACTTTCTCTCTCTCCTTCTCTCTCTCTTCAAATCTGGCTGAAATATTTTTTCTTCTTCAGAAACAGTTTAAATGACCAAAGCAGATGTAACAACTGCATTCATGGTTTGAACAGGTAGGCATTCTTCATCCATTCAGTGGATCCGTGTGTAAATGGTTCTGGGTGGCCATGGATCTCATCAAAGAATCACTATAGGGTTCTGGTGATTGATGTAACCAACACAAATCATTCACAACCAGGAGCAACTGGTGAACCTCACCATTTGTAAGGAATCTTTCTTTCATTTGGATTTTACAAGACATCATCCATGGTGCAGCATCCTTTGGTAATGATGCTTCCCTGCTTTGTCCCTTACTCAAAAAGCAGAGACTCTCCAAATGAAATTATCTTGGGATATTTCTTCATATAAATCATTTCTGTATGTTTCAAGCAATCTTACATGATTTTAATGTAAGCATGGGAGATGTCTTGTTGGAGGAGAGCTCTACGTAGTAAAATTCCTTTTAAGAAAATAATCAACTAACAATAAGCACTGTGGGATCTTATACTCTCTACTCATTTCAGGTAATTGTGTGCCTATGAAGATGTGGTTTCCTGTAGAAAAGTATTTCCAAAAGCCTGCCTGCTCTCATCTCATATGTTCAAGCAAGCATACCCTTAACAAGTGCCTTAGATAATTCTCTTATTTTATAGAAATGAGCAAGTAGTCATATGGATCAATAGTGATTGATGTCATCTTGATTACTTTTTTGGTAATATTTCCATGTATGGATTTTTCCAGTCATTTGGTATTTTCTCTTCTTGCTGATATAGTAATTGCCATGATGAGGAGCCCAAAGGAAATTAGAAAGTGTCTTAACCAAGGAACCCTTGCCTCTTTGTTAGATGAAACATGTAAACCAAGGGAAAACCGGTTTAGAATATAAACTCAGTTGCTAGTGGTATGGAGGAGAATGGTAGAAGATTTCAAGCCATAGTGTTTTGTAAAACAGCAAAGAAGAGTGGGAGAGAAAACAAATCTGCAGAAGGCTTGGCATGAGACCCAACTGAGACAGTTCAAACTCAGAGCAATTACAGATGAAAGTGGATAGAAAAGCAAACAGAAGCAAAATAAAGCAGTTCTGTCAGCATTTCTATACAAATTTTTCTTTATCATCCATGACACTAGCATCAACATATTTTGGCCCTAAAAGTTCAGTTTCTGATGTGCCATGTGAGGAAATGAAAAAAGTACTGGAGGAGATGAAGACAAATAGAACAGCTGGACTAGACCAAGTAACTCAAACAATATCCATGATAGAACTTAAGAGCTTTGGTGAGAATTGAGAATTTTTAGGCTCCTGTAGTTTGTGATCAAGGCTAGGACACTAGAGTGGCATCAGGTTGTAGAAAGCTTTGGATAACTGTTTTTTACTCAGTAGACAATAGAGAGCTGTTTAAGATTTTCAACAAGAGATGTGACATGACCTTATCTG